CAACACTACAAGCCAACGAGCTTTCTCCGCCTGTAAACTGGACATTGGACATTGGACAACCTGACTTGACCGGACCTGACCTGAAACTGTCGCTGCGCCAGATTGCGCTACCCCACCCTGTGACGTGATTTTCCGCCGGCCAGATGGCGGTAACTCAGCGAAAGACAGGAAAGGTTGAAGCCAATGGAACAGCACCAAAAGTCAAGCGTGAGGAAAACGAAAAAGAAGAAAGGAGCAACTTAGTTCTCTGGGTTTCTCCTGTGACTACGTTGTATTATTTTTTCTTGGAATGTTTATTCCGCCTTACCCAGTTGCGTTTTACCATTGCGCGCAATCGTCGCATATGCAGCTTCTTGCTAATTACCTCGGCTGTTCTTTCTGTTTTGTATTTCACACCTGGCCCGCACAATGAAGTTTGTTTTCTTTACGCTGTATAATTCGTTTTAGGTCTTTCAAAAGTTGAAGAATCTTGCCTTTTGGTGGAGTTGGTGGTTTTGGCTGGGATTTCTGTCATCCTGTGGATTTGNTGGATTTGGGACTGGACTTCATACATTCGTTCTTTATTTGGTTTGTTGAAATACATGTTTGTATTGTCTTAAAGGGTCCTTTTATTGCCGAAGTAACTATGAGCGCGTACGAATGTGGTACTCTCGATTTCCCGAGTCCACCATATCCGGATAGGATAATTTGCCCAGAAGGAGCCAACCCGGCGGCGCATATAACGTTCTGGAAGATAATGCGCAAGGTTCAAATGGAATCAATTATGTGGGTAAGTCTACTGAATGGAATCCTACATAGGAGATTGAATCCAGTTGTGTATTGGCAGGTTTTCTCTACAACCTTAGTACTTTTAGTAGTTGAGTATTGTTAGTGCACTAAAATCATGATCGTTTAGATGGATCGTGCAGTCTATGGTAATTAAAGGAGAATTACCCCAATGTTCGCTAATACGGTAAAGAGCAATACGACTTGCTCCGAACGAGTAAAAAGACCGACGATTCGTGACCAACGGTTTACAGAGTGAGATCCGCAGGAGAAAGTTTACACGTGCAACAAGGTAGCCTGACTCACCGGGACAATCGACAATTCCGCGTTTGGGGGCCAACAAGTTGAGTGCATCTGGTAAAACAAAAGCCTATTTTGAGTCGAAGAGGCTTCGTAGACAAAAGACCATCGAAAGCCTCAGCATGATCGGGGGTGGGTGTTTAGAATTGCGGCTGATTATCCTGCCCTTGCACCTCGCAGAATGGTTCCATACGATCAAGCGTCTGAAATAGCCTCTACTGAGGAAGTCCTATTCACTGCCTTCACGTGGCGGTGTTTTCTCACCAAGGTGAGAGGACGAAAAGCCGATATCCGGGGCTATAACTGGGTTGGTGGACTACTGGTAGTACACCTAGGGGAGTTGGCCAAAAATCCTGATTCCAAACCAACCAAGAGGAGGCGTACGAACCACACCCACATCTTCCCGGATGTGGTAGCAGCCACTGGCTCGATTTAGCATCGAGGTATATTGGGCACCTCGGACATCTGACCCCACGCAAAAGGAGCATAATTCTATGAACTGGACACCGGCCCCCAATGAATTGCGGTTTTCATACAGCGTTGCACTGCGTTGCGAATCAGGCTTTGACTAGCCAAAGGCTCCGGTTGTGGGTTCCCCACCTGCCTTGATCTAGGCAACCTGGTAGTATTCCACCCACATGCAAATCATGGAACGTTTTTCTTTTTGTAAAGATTATCGTACCGCGATTTGTTTGGCACAGTCCGAACTCAAACGTTTGTGAAAAAAACAATAAACATGGATAAAAGGTGAACGTACCCTGTTACTATAGTTGTGAATCTACATTTTCTTCAGTTCTATTGGTCCCACTTGCTTTCACAAGATGATCGCTCATCCTCGACCCTGCTCGAAGCGGTCAGCTGTGATTGACACTTCTATCTTAACTGCCCTTCGTTCTGATTGAATTTCGAAGTCAATTATGAAAATCGAAAAATAAAACCTTTGTCAGAATGAAACTAATGTGCATTCAGGATAAAAAGTTGGGAATGATATTGTGTTAACGGTGACGGTTGTAAGCGGTCTTTGTCATAATTGACGGACTATGAACCGTAAGGTTTGATGCTCAAACTCCTCCATCCCTATCCAACTTTTGCGGTTAGCAGCTTTGCGGTCATCCTGTTCATTCTATTGGAGCATTGTATAGTTCGTCACTCTTAGTCTCAGGGCTTAGCGGCCGATTATCATGAGAAATCAATAGGTCCTTATTGTGGAGTTGGCTCCATTCTGCTGTGGTGTGTGATAGAAAGATACATCAGAATCACCTTCAGAGTTCTTCATTGCACAAAGTTATCTAGATCAAACGTCTACTTTCGNCCGCCACTCAACTTTGGTGGTAGACAGCCTTGTTGTCGTCCGGTTCAATACCACGTCTAACCTTTCGGGGCTTTATGTGGTTCATCACTCCAAGTCCCTGGGCTTAGGTTACCGGTTTCCATCGCTGAACAACAGGTCCTCGTGACTATAGGGTTTTCCCCGTTTGCTGTTCATCACACGAAAGTGTGCCATAAAGAATCTGTGGTCATTATGATATGGTGATCGTGTCTTGCCACTAAATAGTCATTCCCGTTTGTTTCCTCGTGTGATATTATCCAACCAAGGTGTAAGAACTGAAGTAATCAGTCAGCAGCTGTTTGGAATCCCGGAACACCAATCACTATCTCTCAGAGTTA